GAAAAAGCCCCTCAAGCCTTATAGTGTGATGGAGGAGGGGAAAGGAGAGGATGAGATGAGATGAGAAGGAGATCCCAGCAGCACATCAAGTGCACAGATCACCTCAGCCTATGGTGAAGACCTGACACTAGCCTCATTTTCAGGGAGAAATGCTGGAGGCCCAGAGAGGTCAGGACCTGACCCAGGGGCACACAGCAGAGAAACAGAGCCTGGGAGTGACCCCAAAGCAGGACCCAGAGCCATGCTCACCACCTCTGTGGGTAAGAGGGACCAGTGAGGCTGGGGTCAAGGCAGGGCCCCCCACCTGGGACAGGAGAAGAAGCGGCATCTGAGGCTGTTTCACTAGGTACTTCCCATGTGCAAAGTTTTATTGTGGAATCTTTTCAACAGCCTGGCAGGGTCCTGCTATAATTGCTTTCATCTTCCACAGAGAAAGCTGGAGCTCAGAGAGGCTGTGAGGACACAAAACCACACAGAATGAAGGATGACACACACAGAATGATGCACAGAAGACACACACACACTACACACAAACCACACACAGAATAGCAGATGGCAAAACAACAAGAAAACTACATCCCCAGCCCACATCCTCCCTGAACTCCAGACTCCCCTCTCCTGAGCATACAACTGCCTAGGGCAATGCCAAAGGAGCAAGGGCCACAAGAATGTCCTGGACCTGGCCAGGGAAGGACCTGAGCTGGTCCCAAATGCCCTTCCTGTGGTTTCAGCTTCTCCCAGGGCTCAGGCCCTGGCCTTGCAGTCCTCTTACCTTCTGGATCTGGCCTGGTGATTGTCCTACAGAAGGAGGATCCCGGTAGAAGCTTAGTGCTGGTGTGGCAGAGGCCTTATATAGCAGGTGGCCGTACAATCAAAAGGCACAGCTTCTTCTGGGGAGGGACCTCTGGGTCAGACAGGCTGAGGCTTCTGGCTGTCAGACTGTGCCCTGGCCAATAGGGCTACAGGCTGCTCAACCCTTTGGCATCTGTGCAGCTCGTGTCCGCTCTCAGACCTCTAGGAATTGGGAACAACTTTGGTCAAGGCCTGCCTTTGGCAAAATGTAAAGAGGAGTAAGTTATCTTCCGCACTCTCCCAGTCTCCTCACACTGTGCCATGGGTGCTCCTGGTTTTCAGTGTGGACCTGAGTTATCTTCCCTCCTCATCTTTACACTGTCCTGGCACTTTACACACACACACACACGGTGGGGAGTGGCGGGAGCCCACTCATCCGAGGATGCAGAGGTTGAGGGGTACATATCATACCAGTGTCCCCCAGCCTGCGTTTAAACCTTGCAGTTCCCTCCTCTTGAAAATACCCCTTGGCGATGGCTACCCTACCCGTGTCTCAGCTCTCTCTTCCTTCCCCAAACTCATGTGTTCATTCAACAAACATTTTTTGAGCACCCTCCGTGTCTTAGGCCTACTATAGGAAACCGGGAGGTATTTGTGAGCAAAAAGACAAAGACCTTTGCCCTCCTGGAGTGTAGTCTAGAGAGGGCTACAGACAGCATAAATTAAAGTGGTAGATAAGCAAATCACAGGGAAAGTCAGAATGTGGTGACTGCTCTGGCAAAAAGATAGAGTAGGATGAGGCATTCCACTTTCAATGAGGAGGCTGTAGTCGGTCTGATGGAGAAGACAAAATCGGAGTTATTTTTATAAGCAGAGACTCCGGCCATCTCTTTTCCTCTCGCTCCTCACCATGTGCCTTCAGGCTGCTTATCATAGCATTTTCCTAAAAAAAAAGGCAGCTTCCTCCCTAACAGAACCATATCGTTTCCCACCACACATTAGTCAGTCACCTGGCAGGGCACAAGAGAAGTGGCAC